TATTTTGTTCCAAACAAATATCAGCAGTGAGGTGAGTGAAGGAGAGATGATGAGGATCTGCAATGGTCTGCGATTTTGATGTGGTCCTGCCTGCTCTGCCAATGCACAAGAAGTTGCAAAACAGGAGTATGTCTCCTTGGCTTGCCTGGGCATCTGCATTCAAACAGCACCAAAGCCTGCCCAGAAAACTGATGTGTTTACAGGGCTCGGTTTCTCAAACATACAGGGGCAATAAATTTAAATGTAGATGCTCTTTTACAGATCAGTCTCTCTGCAAAACTGTAACACCCAACTGAAAGATGTCGTTCATGCTGCTTTTAACAGGCCTGACAAGCTGGATTTTCCTGCAAATCATAGCAAATGTGGGTCCTAGAGAACATACTCCAAATATTGGGGGAAACAGGTGAAAAATCTATTTTTTATGTAATCAGCTGGAGTGATTTTGCTTTTCTTGTTTTAATAATGAGCAAATGATATATGTTTATGAACAGGAAAATATTTGGGGAGGTACAGTTAAATTTAGGATGATTTCTTCTAGTGGGTACCTGTGCTTCTGCTTCACTTAGGCACTCCTGGAAGGTTTTAGTACAATCGCTGAGTTACAAACAGTTGCAAATCTGCAAGCCTGGTTAACTGATAATCAGCTAATCTTCAGTAATAGTCAATATTCACAGTCAGAGCCATTTACATGTGAACAAGCAGGTGATTTCCCCTGGTGTTCAGTGTTATTTGAGCCCTCTGTCTGTAGAGGTAGATGTGGAAGGGTTCAGCCTGGTGTCAATAATGTCAGTAACATATTGCTGTTTAGAGGAAGTTATTTGGGACTCTCTAATGTATAGCTTCTCAGACAGCAGCTTGTGGCCTAGAGCTGGGCCAGGAATTAACTTGGCCCAGATCTCTGGAGTTTTTCAGAGAGATGGTACAGAGCAACATAATGGGTTTCCTCTGTTTAAACCCCAAAATCTCAATTTATAATCACCCTAAAAGAACTGGAGAGGGCACACTGCTATATTCCATTGTAGAATTACTGCACCAATAGACCCAGAAGTTCAAGGAGTTTGATTCACTGGCTTATGCTATTGAGGCCATATTCTGGGTAGGATGAACTGGATAAATAAGGAAAAGAAGCTGAGAAAGAGCAAACAAATAGGATAGAAATGGAATGAAGGAGAAAGGACTGGAAAACAAATACAGGACTGTGCAAAAAAATAAGAAGGAAGATTTCTAATAAAAAATTAATAGGGTACATATACTTTATATAGAACACTGTGCTAACACACCTTTCGAGTGCAGCATTGGCTGATCTGCTGTAAGGCCATCCACTTTTGGAGGGTTGAGTTGGAAGGGTTGAACTGGAATTAAAACTGGTTTGCAAACCTCAGTTTACTGAAGCTCCAGGTCTATTTTTATATACAAGTTTGGTTGGCCTTACTCCATTGGAAAAGTAGACTACTTGTCTTGGGGACAAGGAAAATAATTCTTCCTCAGTGCCATGATTTAAGGGACTAAGTTTTGGATTTCAAAATCAGTGGGGTTCCAAAATCAGTAGCTTCTTTGAGAAGTGAAAACATGACCATAGTTAGAAAATGTGAATGAAATAAGAGGAGGAAGAGATAAAATGAGAAAAAATGAGTGCTGAATCCAGGAAAAAGTCAAGGACAGAGGGCTTGAAATCTTGGGTCTTTGAATTCTCTTTCCTGTTGTTGCAGGCAGTTATACTGTCCAGTCCTGTTAGGAAATGTATCAGGATCTGGGAATTTGTGCCCAAATGCTGTTGGAAGGCTTGCCAGAACTTTCTTGAGTTATGACCCTTGAAGAAAAAAAGGTAAAACCTAGGAATCACTGAGACTAGGTACAGCGTAAACAGAAAACAGGGTAAGTGCAGCGACTGAGGAGGTGATTTGATGATGGGCTTTTCAACAGGGCAGACTGGGTCAAATGAACCAGCAGACTTGGTCAGCTGAGAGGCTTTTCTTTGTATGTGTTTGTTATGGAACCGAGTAATGTGTGTGTGCTCAGATATTGCCCCAGGAAAGATGTTTGTGCAGTTCTTTTGTGTTGTCAAAACATGAGGGGAGAAGAACATTGCTAAAGCTACTAGGGAATGTTCAGAAGACAAGGTTTCCTTTGAGGAGAGCAGCTTAGGTGCTGGTTGGGTTTCACAGGCTTTATTTACAAATGTTGAGGCTGTGCAGTTTCCAAACTACACCATCACTGCAACTTCCTTCCTTGCTCTTCTCTTACAGGCGCTACACGCAAAAAAACACAGGAAAACGTGAAAAAAAAGATCTTAGAGAGTAAATTTATGCTATGGCTGGGGTTAGACACTTTGATTTTTAAAAATAAAATTCTTCCCCAGCAATCGGGAACCCTTGTTGAAACCTCACAGTCTTTTGTAGTTGGGATTGTGCTTGGCATCCCTTCCTGGCAGTGCTGGAACTGCCAGCAAAGTTCAAGCCATAGTGTGGACAGGGCCATAGAAAAGCTCTGGGGGACTCTGTTACTATTATCTATTGCTTGTGCTGTCTACAGTGCAGTAAGAAAGTTCTGTCTCTAAAGCTTGTATGGTGAGAGCACCACTAAAGTCACAGTTTATATTTATCAGTTAACTTGCTAATTTGAAGGGAAAGCAGTGAAGTGGAAATGTAGAAAATAGAAACAACATGAGCAGGTCAAAATATCCAAAACAGCAATATGAAATGTTCCAGTGTAAATACATTTCTATAAAAGGTGTGAATGAAACTTCAAAAAAAACAGATGATGGATTCGGCACAGTCAATGAACACAATTATAAGTAGGTATTGAAGGAGAATATTCCACCAACCATGGATCCACAGATAATAATTAATAAGAACCGACTCCACTCCAGGCAGGCAGGTACCCGGCATTATTTCACAGTTGACTGTTCAGGGGGTAGAGGTGCTCACCTTTGCCCCAGATCTTGATAATTTACTGCACTTTTATCATTAAATCAGCATATAATTGGGAAGGAAATGAGTTTTTTTTCATCGTGAGAGCAAAGCAATACCGTTAATTTAATCATTTGTAGGAGAGGCTTTCTGTAGTCATTTGGTATTTTGCTGTGGTTTTTTTTAATTAAGCAAAGTAAAAACAATGCCATTTTTGTCATCTGTGCTTGGTGAAAATATGACAGTATGATGTGATTTGCAACTTAAGCACAAGCTGGGAAAACTGTACGTTTTATCAGGACTGGCAATAATGGATTACAAGGGAACACAAAAAAGCTAAGAATATATCTGAGACCTCCTACTATTTCTGAAGTTTCCAATGTCTGCAGGAAAAAGACTATTTCAAGTATTTTACTTTTTTTTTTTTTCTCTCATCAGTATCACCATAGCCTTGTATAGTAATTGAATTAATTTAGCTTTTAGAATACTCAAGTTTGCAAATAACAATGAAAATAAATATTTCATGGCAAAGAGAATGATCAATTATAGTTTTGTGACTTTGATAACTCAGTGCGACAGAGCCAGTGCTTACATTTCATGAGACTTCTTGCATCCAGCTAATTAAAAGAACTACAACGTAAGACAATAGGCAGGCAGGTGGGGATAGTTAGACAAGACCTTTCTTTATGTTTGTTTTTCCTTGTTGTGGGCAATACTTTGGAGTTCGGCTTGGTACCTGGAGTTTGTTGTGTGTGCAGTGCAGAGGGGCATCATAAACCCCGTGGCACCTGCAGCAGCTCCTATTGTCTGGCTTCAGGGAGGAGATACTTGTGATAACAGCATGTCGGGATTTTCACATGACAAGGGGGAGGTTTTTTGTTTTCAATGAGAAAACACTGGGTCCAGGTTAGAGGGGTTGGTGCACGGTATTTATACAGAAATGCAGCCTGAGGCAGTGATGCTCATAGGAAAAAGCAGGGGGTGGTCTGAGCAGTTATGGGCAGGACTGTGGCTTGTAACAACTCCTTGGTTTCTAAGGGGAGTAGACTGAGAGAAGCCGTTAAAGAGCAGCTGAGAAATACTGTAATCTAGCTGGGAACAGGATCAGGTTCCCTCCTTGTAGCAGGTGAGATAACTGTATGAATGTTTTTTATAGATGCTTACTCCATTCCCAGAAAATGCTGAGGGGTGAAATTTGCTGATGCATTTAGTGTGGAAAAACTAACAAGTTGCAATTATCAATGAGAGGCGGTTAAGCTGACAAAAATACTTGGCAAGGTGCAAAATCCCCAAGTGAAAAAGAATGTTGGAAGGTGTTGTAACTTTTGCCAAACTCTGTGGAAACAGCGCCGGGGAGCCGGGGCAGGCGCTGCAAAGGTTGGGCTTGGGCTGTTGGGAACACGCAGGGTGTAGCCTGGCTTGGAGTTACTTCACTTTTTCTTTTTGATAAACACAGCTCTGCC